TAAAGCTCACACAGGCTGCTACGGAAGATTTCCGGATGCCGAGGCTTGCAAAACAGGCCCTGTGAGAGCACGGTGTAGATAGTGCAAGGGAAGACACAAAATATTACCTTGAAGCATTGTGGGGCTCTGCCTGATCAGAGCAATGTTTCTCAACCTCAGCCACTTGAAGATGGGTGGATTTCAACTCCCAGCTTAGCTGGCTGGGGAATTCTGGGAGTTGAAATCCACCCATCTTCAAGTGGCTGAGGTTGAGAAACACTGTATTAAACCATTGATAACCTACCATATCCCAGTTACCAACTTCCTAACCACGCAACGTATCCTACGATCCTTTTGCTTTCCTTTTCCTTATATTTCCTTGCAAAGATAATATAAATAGAAATGCAAATATAAAAGCCCCCAGCCTAGATTTTCTTTTGCTTTTGCTCAGTTGAAACAGAGAAAGCAAAATAGAAAAACCAAAAAACCCAAAAATGGAACGCCTAACATATCACAGTCATTATGGTTACTGCAGGCAAACAAATCAATTATGTTTCGGGTGTGTTTTCTGGAGTGGGAATATTTCAACTAATAAACGGAAACAGCTTGGGTTTTGCATGCACACCAAAAAAAAAATAAATCTGTTAGGGTTTCAAAACTTATACTTGTGTAGGCTCCGGTAGGGTGGGGAGCACACAACACAACAACCAAAATAGTGATTTATTTTACAAAACCTTACTGGGCGTTTTGATCCGCTTCCTTGGATCTTTTGTGAAAAAACGACATGCATGCTTGTTTTAAGGAAGTACAGAAGAAACTGTTACAGACGTATAATAAATATTTATTCTTTGCCCAAAATCAGGATTGGGAGACACTAGACAGAGCTGGTCCTTTTCCAGCTGGAGGCTTCATGTAAACCAAAACTGGAGAATGAGACCCAGCAGAACTTGAAAAGCACCCAGAAAGTCTCCTGCTGGGCTCAACTGGGGTACGGTGAGCAACCTAAGATGCTGCCTTGCTTTTAACTCACGCTATAATTGGGGAAGTCAGCTAAGCAAAGGCATGAAACTAGCTTCAAGCCAAGGATTTCACATTTCACTCAGACGGTGAATTTCAGCAGGTAGTTAGACCAGGGGTGAAATCCAGCAGGTTTCGACAGGTTCTGGAGAACTGGTAGTGGAAATTTTGAGCAGTTAACCGGCAAATACCACCTCTGGCTGTCCCCAGAGTGGGGTGGGAATGGGGATTTTGCAGTATCCTTCCCCTGCCACATCTACCACGCCACACCCACAGAACCGGTAGTAAAAAAATTTGAATTTCACCACTGATTTAGACCCATTTGGGCACCTGGTGACATGATGGCAAGTGAAAAGCTAATCTCCGTGGGACTGAAAGAATGCAAGAGGGCAGCTGGTGGGACCTGTTCCCCCAGCCCCCAAGCCCAGGTGGGCAGGAAGCAGCTATTTTCCCCTGTAATTCTGCTTCCTGGTTAGGCAACTTGATTAAGAGAAAATTCTTAAGTTTCTCTCACGGTTTTATATTTTACACTCACACTCACACCGTAGTCTTTTTCTCAAGAAGAAAACTCGTGCAAAGAGCACACCACCTCTATTTGGGGCACCATCCGCTCTGCCTCACCTAAATTTAGCTCTGATCTAAATAAGCTTCCACCCTTTCAGGACCCCCAAGGAACCGCATCCCTCCCTCCGCTCTCTGGAATCACCCAGACATGCTGGAATCTCTCTCGCGCACACACAATCTAATTCTGCCTATTTCCCCCATAATTCAGAGGATTTAGGAGAGAAACCAGGTCCTTTTCTCTGAACAGAAAGCTATACTCTCTCTACCCTATTTCCAGCCTCCATCCAAGCCCCAGAGCTGGCCCTCTTCCTGCTGAAAAGCTGGCTTCATTCGTCCAGTTTAGAAGGCAAAAAGCTGCTTGCACGTCAGGGAAGGGCCATTGTCTGTCCGAGACAGCGAAGAGCTGGTGATGCCAACCAGGAACTGGCAAGCCCTCTCCTCCAACAGCTGGCACACTCCAGGCCAGACAAGGGGAAACCGGCCAGCAGAAGGCACGGAACGACTAACACTTGGGGGCATCCCATGAGAAGCAACTTCCATTAAGTAAGCGGATTGCTCAGAGAGCTTATAATTGATCAAGATAAGCTCATTTAGAACCCTTGTCTGTTAAACAACAAAAAATCCCACCTTGCTTCAAAGAGGTTTTTTGCAGGCTCTGCCATAACCCCAACCATCAGAGGGGGCTGCCCCCCACCCAGCAGCTGCATTTGATGCCGAGGAGGAGGGGATCCACAGGAGGGAAAAGAAGAGAGACCGAGAGTGGAGACGGGCAACTCGTCTGCTCTTCTCTATCACAACCAACAAACTTACATCCCCAAAGATGCTCCAGCTCGGGTCTCCTTTGATCACTGTCCCCCTCCAACCTGGGATGCAAGCATGCATGGACAGCAGTGGCTGCAACTGAAGACCACTTTGTGCCACACCTGAAATTGACCATTGCATGTGCAATCCTACAAAGATCTCAGGGAATTTTTTGTTGTTAGTTGCGAAGTCGTGTCTGACCCATCGTGACCCCATGGACAACATTCCTCCAGGCCTTCCTGTCCTCTACCCTCCTCTGGAGTCCATTGAAGCTCACGCCGACTGCTTCAGGGACTCCAGCCAGCCACCTCGTTCTCTGCAGGGAGTTTTAGCGGGAGGTATTCAAGCAACGGCCTTTCAAACCATCTGGTGAAATACCATATTTACCGGGAGAAAAGATTCAACTTGAGTACCTCCCACTGAAAAGAGTTTCTGCTCAACGGAACTGAACTGGATACCCCAAAGTCCCAACTCTGACCCAAATGGACGATCCGCAAGATACCATCAGGCTTAACTTTGCACCTCGTTTATCATTCCAGGTAAAGTCCCACAGAAGACGTGTCAAAGTTAGGAGAGCAAGAGAGGCATTTATGATTTGGAGAAGAATCTGGCAAGAGGCCTCCACGCAAACCGTGAGGAGGACACCCCCGCCACAAGGAAAACTTGGGACGGGCGCCAAAACCTTGGAACCCAGCTCCAAAAACGCAATAAGAAATACAAAGCGTCTTCCCAGGAGGCCCAGAAGACAAATACATTTTCCAAAACATGCTGCAGCCGAGGACAAGTTACAGCCATCGACTCTTGAAACGTGATAATTACTCCTGCTAAACCGAAGCCAGAGAGCAGAACGTTAACTCCAAATCTGTCTCTTGGGAAACATTGGCTGGGAACGGAGCAGAGGCAATGGCGGTGAGGCAACTCAGGGCTGCCTTCCACCACCCAGAGCCACCCTTGGATGGGCAGGGTTGGGGGTTGAGCCAAGCCAAGAGCCTCAAAGAGCGACACCGAAGAATGCCTTGTGGATACAGATGATGGATTATGCAGACTGGTCTAAGAGGAGAGGTTCTTGGATGGATGGACAAGAGGGTGAAAGGGGGAGGGGGCAGAAAATAAACACCACGTAAACAGCCATGTCCATCTGAAATTCCTCATCCTGGATTTAGGAGACCAAAAGAAAGACCAACTTCCAGTAAGGAGAAGGACTTTCTTTAGGCTTCTTTCCCATAATTTAATTCTTTCTGGCCCCAGGAAAGGACCCTCACTTGGCAGTTTGGGCAGAGAGGCAGAGGGGAGGCCAAGGGGATCTCTTTGGCCCACTCTTTCTCGCTCTCCTCTCTCTCTCTCTCTCTCTTGCTGCTGTTTCTTCTGTTTCCCAGAAAGGATCAATTCCCCTTGGCAACAATGGCCAACACTGGGGGTGGACCAGGCAGTTGGTGTGAAGGCCTCTGCTCTGCATAGGTGGCCCAGGTGAGTCATGCTGGCGGATGAGAGTCTGCTCCCAAGAGGCCTCTTTGCTGCCTGCCAGAACTATAATTTAGCCCCTGAAGGCCGTGTTCATGGTCTCAGGCAACCAAAAGACTCAGTTGCCTTGGAAGGGGTGGAGGGATGCGCCTTCTGGGACACCGCATTCCATCCCATGCTGAGCACAGCAGAACCTTCCCTCCCCAGGACTGGGGTGATTTCCTGCCTGAAGCTTCAGAGGAGCCTGTGCCAAAGTTCTGGGGATCAACATCTCTTAGCCACGATGGCAGTGGGGCTGTTGGGAGATTCGTAGCCTTCCTTGGGCAGCTGGTTGGTTAGACTAGATGGGCCAGGCGTCCCATCCAGCAGGCACAGCTTATGTTCTTAAGAGGTGGTGCTGGGACACCCACTGGCTGGCGTTGAAGGTTCTTGTCAGCCTCCACCTTTAATTATCAGGCCCAAACAGCTTGAAATAACTACGAAGGGCTTCCCAATTCGGCTCGGAATGCACAGAGCAGGCCGAGGCATTTTTTAGCACCGAACAGGAGACAATCTAAGTGCTTCTACAAGAGGCCCCTGACTACCTCCTGTTCCTCTCATGGGGACTTCAGCAGAAGAACCTCTTCCTGGAATCATGTCCCTCCAAGATCCAAGTTGCTGGAAACCACCTCTTGAGTCTTGATGCTGCGACCTCCCCACAATTTTTCCTCTGTGGCTGATGGACACCAATCTTCAGCTTATCTACTGAACAGATCAGTGACCTCCAGACTTTCAAAGGGAAAAATTCAAAGCTTGAAAAGAAAGCAGAAGGGGAGAAGGAAGACCCACAAGACACTGGAGGAACTAGGAATGGAGAGGTGGGGTTTTTAAAAAAATTATTTTGGCACTTTTGTGTTGCTTTAACCTTAATTAGTATTAAAAAAAAACCCCACAGAACAGATTGCCTTCCTCTTTACAGACTTGCAGACATTCCAGCTCAAGGTCTTTGCCGACTCCATGAAATGCAAATTAAATTAGAAAGGAGATTTTGCAGTTTGCTCCATAGGCCATCCAGGTCTTGTGAGGTATTTCTGGCACACACCCAAAACACCTTCTCTCTAAGGCCTTAACTGCTTGTTTAGCAGGCTGGCATTTTCAGTGGCCATGGCATTTTCCCTCCTCAATCTACCAGCACCTACCTCTGGAGCCCTGGAATTCCCTCCAAAAGGAGCAAAGTAACTCAGCACCATCTCAGAGGTGGGTGCATCCCTTCCGAAGATCACCAAGCCATTGGTGGGGTCAGTTCCTGCCGCAATCTTTGCCAGCAGCCTCCCGGCTACACCAACCAAGAGTTCGTGTCTGCAGGACGCAAAGCCATCTCTTTTCCGGAGTTCCTATCGTCGCTCAAAGCATCTTCCCTCCGATTGCTCTGGGGCTGCAAAAGGAGCCTCTTTTTTAGTATCGGGGGATTTCAGACCTGCTGCTGCAAAAGTAGATTTCGCTGCGACAATACAGGGCAAGGCGGGGAGGTTTCAGGTTGCAGGGCTATTAATGTCTGCTCAGCAATGCAGGAACTCGGAACAGCTCTTATGTATAACACGCAAGTGCGAGGGGGGGGAAGGATATCTACTCCCCAAGACCTCTTTGCCCACAAATGTGGTTCCATGGACACAGCCTGAACCACAAGCCATTTCATTTTGAACGTTTGGTAGCCCTGATCATTGATTCAAAGCTCCTGCAAAACTGGCATGGAGGATCACTCGTTTCTTCTCCAAAGGACCTGCAACTTCCAACCAAGTTCTTTTGTTAAGAAGAGCCCTTAGTACACTTTGCTGGCTTCCAGGGCCAGGCACTTGCTCGGCATCATCTCCTCTTCTCCAGATCCTCCCCGTGATCTTCCATCCTCGGCTCCTTCACTGCTGGAGCTCCCTTTGGGCAAATAATGGCAATAAGGCGAAGAGGCTCCATGCTTGATCACCCAGAATTCGATTCCAGAGTAACTCAAGGCCCATTTCAAACAACGAGGCATCAGAAGAACTTGACTGCAGCTGGAAATAAACTTGGGTGGAGACGGCCAAGAATAAATCGGTTTCTGCTCAGCATCCGAAGGACCAGGGATCTGCATTCTGCATGGCACTGCTTCTGCCAACAGATTCTCGCCATTGCAGCTGCCCAAATTGGAAAAGAGACCACTCAAGTAGGAATAGATGCAAGCCACCCACTGACTCTACTGCATCAGCGCTGGCATGTGGGAACACACTGGCATAGTTCCCCACTGGAGCATTTAGGCCCGTAACTCCGCAGGCTGGGTACAACACTACTTGGAGGAAACTCCCTTTGGGGGAGGCTGCTGTAGACAGAGATTTCGTTATTTTGGTTGAATAATTGAATAACATCCTTCCATGAACTTGCCTCAAGAATCCCTGCAGTTGTGTGTTATAGGAGTTCAAAAATAGAAAGCCAATTTTGAGAAGGCCATGTAGAAGGTTGCTTCGTGCCTGGGCTGGAGGACAGATTTGCTCAGGTGCTGAGCCCAGGCAGAGAAGTCCTCTGCTTTTGATCTCCAATGTGACCACTGCCCTCTCCCCACCAGCCATGTTTCTCCAGCAATCCATGGCCCCTCTCCACCGATACAGGAATCTGGAGTGGAAATGGGCCCGAGAGGGTTGTATCAGAAGCAGGAAGGGTGGGAGGAGATGGCAAAAGCCTGTGAGGTCTTTTGGCAAGGAAAATGGAGAAGAAAGAAGCCAACAAGCTAAAGATCAATGAACCCAGGAACCTGGAGAGAGGACTGGAGGTCCGACAAGCCCAAGAAAGGCAGGTTGGCAATTCAACCAAAAGGAGCAGGCAATTCACACATTAACAGGAAGGTGAAAAAAACTCTCTTGAAGTCCCCCTCCTTCAATTAACAAGAAATTTGAGCCAAGTTGCACTAACTTCCTGCTCTTGAGCAGATTCTCCTCCACCGGCTTTGATCTGCTAATTCTGAATTTTTTAAAAAAGAATACTTTGGCCCGGCTTATTGAACATTATATTGCTTAAGACGCAGAGCCTATCCGTCTGGCAACTTCACAAATTCAACAGTCCTGCAAAAGGAACAGGCAAGGAGGCAAACGCCACGGGTGACTCTGATGAAGAACAAACGGACAGCTTTTTAATTGTCAACTGGACAGGATTCCGCACCATGATGAACGAAAGTGGAATAAAACTGCTAAGAAGTGCAAGAAAACATCACCCCCGAGTAGAGAAGCGCTCTACAGTCAGCACAGAGGAGCCAGGGTCTGTTGTCACCTTGCTGAACAAGGTCTAAACAGGAGTCCAACACCCCCCCCCAAAAAAACTCTGCCATCTCAGAGGCCCCTCAAATCTCTGCCCCACCACTCCTGATGCTGCATTTCCTTGCTCCTGGGAAATATTCCTCATGGCGCTCGATTTCTCCTGGCAGTGCAAACGGGCCCCCTCTGCCCCGATCCAAGTCTGCTGGCGTCCAGATGAACGTGGAATGGAATGTCCCCATGAAGAATCGGTCTCATCCCGGCCAGCTGCTGGGACCAGAGGGGACCCAACGCTGCACAAGCAGGCCATTGTTGACTTAAGGACTACGCCGAGGATGCGTATTGCGATGCCTTGAGCCGGCCATGTGTGGCTTTCCGGAATGCCAACAATGTTATCTTTCTTTCCATTTCCATAACGCTCCCATCCAAGTGTCAAAGAGATGGCTTTGTGCATTGTGCGCCTTTAGAAAGCAGTTTAAGAAGGGAGCCAGAGGCACGTTTCTCTCGGAGAAAGTAACAAAGGCAACTGCAAAGGCACAAACTGCAAACTTTAAGGGCCTGGTGGCTCAGCAGACTGATAGCATTGTGATTAACACCAGCTGTCTGCCATTACTGTAAGTTCGAATCTCTCCAAGGCTCAAGGTTGACTCAGCCTTCCATCCTTTCTAAGGTAGGTGAAATGAGGACCCGGACTGTGGGGGCAATAAGCTGACTTTGTATAAATATACAAAAGGATGAAGGCTATTGCTTAACGCATTGGAAGCCGCCCTGAGTCTCCGGAGAAGGGCGGCATATAAATCAAATTAAAAAAAAAACCTTAATCTAAGTCTTCCTCAGATGGGACCCTCAAGGCTGGTGGGGTCTGCATGCCCAGTCATCCCAGCCAAGGCAGCACACAGCAGATTCAGTTATAACATCAACTCAAATTATCAAATTTATCAACATAAAGAAGTATTACTAGAATAATTTGGTGTTCAATTAAATAATTCAATAAGGGGAACAGTAAGACTTTGGTTTTACCTCCCTTTAGGTTCAGTACAAATTTGAACTTGAAGTGGAGAACTGTGCCATGAGTATGCCTACCAAATTCTACACTGGTCAATCGCAGTCGGAGAGGCCATTCTGCAACTAAAGAAACAGGATGCAAAATAAGATAAACCCTGGAGTCTTTGGTGCTTTCTGGATTTGGTTATTTGCTTGCCGATGTTTCACTACCAAACTCGGTAACATCTTGAGTGCATCAGTCCTAGCAAACAAACCGCCAAGCTCAGAGAGCACCAAATATTCCACAGTTCGACCTTCAGGTGCAGAGGTTCTCTTCTGCTGAAAATAAGACGAAATTAAATAAAAGCCCTCCTTAGTATCAGCAAGCATGGATCAATATGGATCTTGCCCCACGTTCAACAGGAAACCCATACTGTTCACTTATAAGGTAGCAATCCAACAGCGAGCAGCATTTCAGCAAAGCAATCAAGTGGACAGAAAAATATGAATAGCTCTTTTCTTTGATGGAAGATGAACCGAACATTTCAGTTCCAAAAATGCCGACGGAGCATGGCTTTGTTCCCCCTCGCACACTCTTTGAACATGCTCCCAGCTCTGCAACAAAAGTTTCCTCCATAAAAGGCAATCTTGCTTAAGCAGCCTTGTCTTTGCTTTAAGTTTAATAAGCTTCTGTGGGCCCATTGTATACGTTAGCCAGTGACCCCAAACACAGCCTCCGTCAGAGAGCTAAGAGAGAAGATCGGAACAGAATGAAGCTGGGAAGAGGCTCCTGCAGCTTGGCGAGGCAATAAAATAGCCCCCCATTGTCACATAACGAATCCCTGCTCCTTGAGACAAGATTCCTCCAGCTAATTGAAAAGAAGTTGCTAAAAATGACAACTGCCCCAGAAGGGACACATCCGATGCTCAACCTGCATTCAATGTCCAATTGGACAGAAGAGGTCTGGAGTTGGCCAATCTGGACGGAAAGCCTCCATAAACTCATTTTAAGCTCCAGGAAAGAAAGACAGGCCATACAAACAGAAAACCAGGTCCCAAATTCTCCTAAATTTACAAGGAGACAAACATGGATGAATCTGGATCTTGTCTTATTAAAAACTGGATCATATATTACACTGAAGCCAAACCTCAACTGTTTAGTTTCAGTGTAGCATTCTGCATGAGTTCGGCAGTTAGAATCTGTCAATCGTGGTTTATGCTTTAATAAGTTGTACCACCTGAGGATGCGCTACAAAGCCATCAGAGAAGATGGCAAGAAAAGCCTCGTGAGGGGAAGGCAGAAGTGGAGCTCTTCCACTTACACCCAAGGAGGCCTCCTTGACGATGGGCCTTTCCCCTGGCCATCTCCCCGATTCCTCTGGGGGGCTGAGACTTCCTTGACACAACCAGACAGGTCTCCCGGTCAGAGGGAATCCCTCAACCACAAGGGAACCACAAGCGCTCAAGACTGCGGCCAACTTCTGCCTGGTGTTCTTGGACAAACGGGGGGTGGCAAATAAGAATGGGAGTGGGGATGGGGTTCCCCCCCCACCATCTTAAGCTGCTTCGAGGAAGTGCAGCTGCCTCCCAAATGTCAGGCACAAGTAATCCATCCTCAACGGCCATCAGCTTCCCGAGTCCCCAGAGCACTAAAAGGCCCGTGAAGTTCAGCATCTGTTGAAGCTCAGTTAAAGTGAATTTCCCAAGTCTTGTGGCCTCTCCCAGCCTCTGTTTGGCTCACTAGCCAAAGAGCGGGCAGAGAAGAAGGGGCCAAGGTCTCCCTGTAGGGTCGATTTGGATGGTTTTTCCCAGATGTGTTGCATCTGGAACTCCCTCAACCTGCGTGGTGGAGGAACTGCCATCCCAACCCTTCACATTAAAGCTGGGCTCACTCGCCATGATTTGGGTTAGTATAATGGGGCCACAAAGCTTGTGACTCACACCAGAGTTGAGAAGTAGCTTCTGCTGCTATAAAGGTTGCCTGTGGATTTGCACACAGCGGACCTAATCCCTGTGAATTTTCCCACTCGTGTCCCACATGGGTGAGTGTGAGAGAGGGATAAACTCTGGGTCCAGGCTGTCTGGGGGCCTCTTGTCATAACCTCTGATCTTAATGGTTTCAGATTGGCCAGGAGGCAGCCAGAGAGGAGAGCCAGTCAGATGGCAAAGTGGATTAGAACATCTTCCTCCTTATCTGCACTGAGAGAAATCTCGTGGCTCCCCCCGCCCCGCATTT